GTTCGGTCTTCATCTTTGATCTCAAGCCACCAGACTTCCTGTGGTGGAAAGAGCAGTGATGATATGAATGGCGTGGCAGAAAGAACACCCATCTTGGAGTCAGGACACTCAGGTGTGTCTCGGTACAGCCGCTTGCAGGCCATGTAACCTTGAACATGTTGCTTCAGCTTGGGACCTGTACCTGTGAAGTAGGTGAAAGTTGAAGAGATGTAAATGAACTAACCTGTGTGAAAACCAGCCTGGAGCCACACATACACCCAAGCTGCTCCCTTTCCTGGCTCTCCCCATCTCTGCTGAGAGCCCCTGCACTTTCTGCCTCCTGCCTGGGCAGGAACCCCAGGTGGAAGAATGTCGGGGCCTGCCAGGACAGGAAGAAGGGACAGGGGCTGTGCTGTGCTTGGCACAGCCTGGCACCTGCCATTCCTATGAGTCCACTTACTGCCCACCCAGGAGGGGCTTCTCCCCAATTCTGCCTAAGGTCTAGGCCATTTCTGTACCCTTTTTCCTACTGGGTCCTGCTATCCTTCCATTCCCCCCCTTATGCACACACATCTCTGGAGACATAGAAAGAGACACAGGAGCAAGATGAACTGAGGTCTGCTTGTTCCCTCTGACTGAGACTGAGAAGAGCCTGTCCTTTGAGCTGACCCTTGGAGAATAAATAGAATTTGCCAGAAAATATATGTTGCCATAGAGGTGGAAACACAAAGAGGTTGTGGCTGGAGCAGCAGAAGAGGCTGAAGAGGTACTGACGGTGGGGAGCCTTGGGTGGATGTCACATCTCCTTTAGTGACCACATAATGGTGCCTTCAGGCTGGGCCCTGGCCTACAGAAATGAACACGATGTGAGCACCTGCCCTGCTGGGTGGAGGGTCACGGCACAAGGCCAATGTGTACTCTGCTTGAATTGCCTCATTTAATTCTCTTAACAGCCCATGAAATAAATTCTAATAGTTTCCCTGGTTTATCCGTAAGGAAGTGGTACGCTCCTTGCCCAGGGTCTCCACACAGTGAGTGACCAGAGCTGAACTGAATCCCAGGACCAAGGATCTTAACTATGTTTTATCACCTCTCAAAGGTTATATGTCAGTTCTACCTTGGGATGGAGGGGGTCAGGAAAGACACGAGGGTGAGGCAAATGCCGAATCTTTAAAAATGAGTAGAAGGGGGCCGGCCCGGTGGCGCACTGCTATAGTGCGCCACTTGGGAAGCGCGGCGGCGCTCCCGCCGAGGGTTCGGATCCCACATACAGACCGGTTCCCGCTCACTGGCTGAGCGAGGCGCGGGAGCAACACCGAGGGTTGCGATCCCGTTGCCGGTCCCGGTCCGGGACAGGTGCAACACTGAGGGTTGCGATCCGTTGCCGGACACGGAAAAAGACAAAAAGGAAAAAAAATAATAAATAAATAAAAATAAAAATGAGTAGAATGGATCACACGGGTAGAGGTGGGAAGGACATTAGAGACATGGAGCAGCATCTGTGGAAGATGGAGGCATGAATTAGCAAATAGGAGCTTCAGATGAGCTGACACTGAAGCTGGAGAGACAGACAGGGCTGACTGGCTAAAAAGCTCACATCTTCTGTGGGCAGTGGGGGTGTGACCTGGTTTGTACATGGGAAGATCATTCCAGCAGAGCGAAGTGGTTTAGGGCACAGAGGCAGCCCATTCTAGGCACTCATTACACGTTTGTTGAATAAATGAATGGAATTCCACAATGATTTATTGTGTGCCATTTATGTTCTAGTCACTCTAGTGGGCTTGGGGGTGTTTAGCCGTCAAGAAGACAGATGCTGTAAGTGGCCAGTCATGATGATAGTCAGATGAAAGATGATCAGACCTGGACTTGAAGTGGTAGCAGTGGTTTTGGGGGCAAGGGACGGATCTGTGGGATTCTAAGATAGAATAGAAAGTACCAGATGACCAATAGGACCAAATAGGGCTGGAAAGGTGGAAGAGAATCTAAAGTGGATTCCCAGTACTCTGGCTGGAAGACTGGATGGACAGTAGAGGATAGGGAACACAGGAGGCGGAGCAGAGCTGGGGAAACTGAGGTTGGTTACGTAAGTTATGATACATCCGTGTGACAAAATTCTTAGAAACAATATTTTGATATCTATGACATTCCCTTATATAGGCATATCATATGTCATTTAACCAAACCTGTGTTGTAAACTTTGGGATTTTTTTTCCTGGTTTGTCGCTTTTATATATAACACTGTAATAAGCAGCTTTTTTTTTTTTTTTTTCCTTTTTGTCTTTTTTACTGACCGGTAACGGGATCGCAACCCTCGGTGTCGCGCCCGTACCGGGGACCGGCAACGGGATCGCAACCCTCAGTGTTGCGCCCACACTGCACTCAGCCAGTGAGCGGGAACCGGTCTCCACATGGGATCCAAACGCTCAGCGGGAGCGCCGCCGCACTCCCAAGCGGCGCACTCTCCAGTGCACCACCGGGCCGGCCCAATAAGCAGCTTTTTACAAAAGTCATCACCATTCTGATTACCCTTAGAAGGGAAATTTTGGAATTGTAAAGTATAAACAGCTTTGAGGTCTTGATACATATCTTCAGATTACTTTTTAGAAAGGCTGTACCAAGTGTTATTCCTGTGGCAGTGCTGGAGAATTCTTCCTCAGCATACTACAACAAGCACTAAGATAGATACACATACACACACGTACACATGTTTTAATGGGTAAAAAGCAGTGTCTTGTTATTCTAATTGCATTTCTTTGTCACTGGTGAGTACTGGTGAGTTGAGTTTTTTCATGCATATTAACCTTTTTTTATGATCTTAACCTGTTTTTATGGGTCTCATTGATTTTTTATGAGGTTTTAAAATATGCATTTTTTTATATTTTGTGACAAAATTCTCCCCACTTTTTTGTTTCTCTCTTAATTTTGCTTAATTATATTTTTGATGTACCAAAACACTTAAAAATGTTTATAAGTCAAAAATCTGTTTATCTTGGGGCCGGCCCGGTGGCGCACTGCTATAGTGCGCCGCTTGGGAGTGTGGCGGCGCTCCCGCCGAGGGTTCGGATCCCACCCATCCCTATATAGGATCCGAACCCGCGGCAGGAGCGCTGCTGTGCTCCCAGCACCGCACTCTCCTGAGTGCGCCATGGGCTCAGCCCAAAATCTGTTTATCTTTTTATTTCGTTCGCTGCATTAATGTTTAGAAGTTCAGTGATAAAGTATACATCTAAATTTTCTTTACTTTTTTAACGTTCAGTTACTTTGTGTATAATGTGAGGAGAGGAAGTAAAAGTATCTTTTTCCCAAATGGCAAATTTTCAAATAGCACTTGTTCCCTCTGATGGAGAAGCTTCCTTTATTATAACCTGTCCATGTGTCTGGGCTGTCCTGTTTCACTGATCTTTGTGTTGATTCTGATATGTGTATCACTGTTGTAATAAGTACAAATCCATAATATACTCTAGTACCTAATTTTTAATTTGGGGGCACTGTTTTTAACTGTTAAACCTTTTGGATGGGTTTTTAGAATCCTTTTGATAAATTTAAAAATCCTATTGGGATTTTCCTTAAAATTATGTTAAGCCTCTACATTAGTCTGGGAAGAGTTGGCATTTTGTTAATATTCAGCCTTTGCACCCAGGAATGTGATTTGTCTCTCCCATGTTTTCAAGTCATCTTTTTATATCTCTTAATAAAGGATTATAGTTTTCTTCCTATAGTTCTCACATATTTCTTCAGTTTATTTCTCAGTATTTTATATTTTTTGCTATGATTGCAAATGAGATCTCTTTTTTTACTGTATCTGGTGATTGTTTCTTCTTGGTATACTAAATTATTTTATACATTCTTAGTTGATTCCTTTAGGTTTTCTGGGCAAATGGTTTATTTCTCAGTATTTTATATTTTTTGCTATGATTGCAAATGAGATCTCTTTTTTTACTGTATCTGGTGATTGTTTCCTCTTGGTATACTAAATTATTTTATACATTCTTAGTTGATTCCTTTAGGTTTTCTGGGCAAATGACATGCTCACTGGAAATAACAGACTGGAGCCCGTGGTTTGGTAATTCCTCCAGTTAGTTTGGTAATGCCTCCAGTCTGAATGGCTGGTTTGGGACTTTCTCCAGCAGTACTCAGAGCAGAAAAAGGAGATGAGTGGATTGATCCCAAGCTTGGGGCTTTCCTGGGCCAGGGCAATAGAAGGACAAGGGGCAGCATATCAAGGGAGTTTATAAGAGTGTAGCTGATGTGATACACTTCAGGGTCTAGGCCAGGAAAGGCTCCTGGACTGAACAGGAAGTCAGGGGTGGGGGCCTAGAGGTCTCCACATGGTTGGATAAGAGGAAGGGTGAAAGAAGGGGAGGAAGTTGTGGCTCTGGAATGGATACTGGGATGTCAGATTTCAGAGGCAGTGCCTTTCCATACGGTGCTGAGATCTCTAAGGGAAGAATCATCCCATTTTATAACTAAAGAAACTGAAGCTCAGAGAGCTTGTTACCCGCAGTCACCCACCTCCAGTCAGTGCAGAGCTGGGGTTTGAGTGCTGTTCTGTGCTATACCCATTCATGTCTGTCTTTATTTTTCAGGTTTTCTTTAGAGCAGTTGACTGAGCAGAAGGGAAAGGAGGCGAGCCCAAGCAGAGCAGATAGGAGAGAGGGCAGGCTCCTCCTGGGCCTCTGGGGAGGCAGGACAGCTGACCACTGTATCTTCTTATAGGCCCAAGAACCCCTCAGGCCAGAGCAGCACATGACAGTGTCCCACACCCTGTAGCCTGCCCTGCGGATCCTTCACAACACACTGTGGCCCCACCACATGCCACTCTTCCCTGTCACTGAGCCTCGTTTCTGTCACACAGTCCATGTCCCTGCCACATGCCAAGGCCTTCCCGTACCAGCTGTGTTTATACCTCAGGCCCCAACCTCATTTCTCATTTACCTGTGCACACTTTGGGTACCTGCCTCTTACCCAATCCCATCACCAGTGGTTTGCCCAGCTCATGCCCTCTTACTTTGTGTCCACAGAGTGCATCAGACGGCTTCTGGAAATCTGTGGCCACTCGAGTGCCCAAGGAACCCCCTGAGATTCGCATTCTCAACCCGTATTTCATCCAGGAGGCCGCCTTCACCCTCATCGGACTGCCCTTCAACAACGGCCTCATGGGCCGCGGGGTGAGATAGCCAGGCCCCTGGAGACGGGGAAGGAGATCTGGGTCAGAGGTGCCTTGGGAAAGAAGGAGAGGGTGGCAGCAATGGGGCGGTGCTCCCATGAGGTCGTTTTGTGGGGAAGGGGGCTCACTCCTGGGAGCCTAGCCGAGGTCTTAGCCTTCCCACTAAACTCTCCACGCCTCCTCTTCTGTCTCCTCCAGAACATCCCAACCCTTGGCAGTGTGGCAGTGACCATGGCACTACACGGCTGTGACGAGGTGGCAGTCGCAGGCTTTGGCTACGACATGAGTACACCCAATGCACCCCTGCACTACTATGAGACCGTGCGCATGTCAGCCATCAAAGAGGTTCGGGGCTGGGCATGGGGGCAGTCCCTAGGCAGGCCTTGGGTCAGGGAGCCTCCTCCAGCACAAAGGACAGGCTCTGACCGCATGTGCACAAATGCCTGGTAAAGGGCTGAGTTGGCGGCTGCTCTGGCCACCCAGAGCTTCCCAGGAAAGCCCTGTGCCCCCTCAGCTAAGCACAGTCGCAGAAGGTTCATCCCTGCACACAGGCCTCTGACCACCAAGCATCCTCGTGTCCTCTTTCCAGCCTCCCACCAAACCCAGAGCCCCTTCCTCAGCCTTCCCCTGAACTTGCCCCCCACGGGACCCCCTGCTTTTGTCCTGCACCTCCTTCCTGCTTGCTGCCTTCCTGACAGCACACACTAGTCTCAGTGCTGGCTTAGTAATCTTCCTCTCTACCACAATCCCTGCCTTCCCCAAGAGAACTTCCTGCCCCTCAAACAACCCACAAATGAAAACTGCCTCTCAGTCTCAGGACAGCCCCCGTACCTCGTCTTTCTTTCCCCATGGCCAAGCACTGAAGCCCTTTATCATCCAGAATTCCTTCCCAGGTGAGCCATAAGTACAGTAAGTTAAAGGTCGGCAAGCATCAAGTTCTCCCAACCTGTCAGTCAGCCTCTCCTGGCCTCTCTCCCTTCACAGTGAAGATTCCATGTGCAAAATCTGAACCTCTCCTGCTCCCACACCTTCACTTCTACCACTAGCCTTCCACTGATCCCAGCCTGAACCTGGAAGTCTTGGGCCAGTGCTTTGAGCAGCTTCTCTACCCCTGCATGTGTGTGACTGTGGGTTGTTGGAGGAAATCTCTCACCTGTGCAGATTTGCATTTCTAAAAATCCAGGGGCTCTATTCTCAGTAGCTCTCATTCCTGATCCTCAGTCTTTTTACTTGCTCTTCTGCAGTTCCCCACCACACTGGTACAGAGCCTTGCAGCAGTACCAGTGCAAGCTCCCAACCTACAAAATCCACTGAGGGGACTCTGGACTCCACTGGACCATCCCCTTGCACCCTTACTTCCAGGTGGCCCTTCACCCCTGGCAGCCTGGCTCCTCCAACCTGACCCATCTCCCACCACGTTCACCAAATCTAGTGGACACATGTCATTTTTCCTGATCTCTCAGAAACGCTTCTTATGTTGACCACTCCTTCCTCCTGGAAACTGTCCTGCTTAGACTTCTGAGTCAGTAATTCCTAGTGTTCCTCTCATTTCAGTCGCCGTTTTCTCTCATTTTCTTTCTCAGTGACATTGATCTTGATCTATGCCTTAAGAATCAGGATTAGCTAAGGCTCCATCCCTGACCATCTTTTCTTCCCACTCTACATGTTCTCCTGGAGATTCACATCCCCATCCATGGCTTCAGTGACCGTCTACATTGTATTAGGCTTTTTTGGTTCTGTCTTAGTTCGTTCAGCCTACTATAACAGTATCATAGACTGGGTGGCTTTTAAACAACAGAAGTTTAGGGCCAATCCCGTGGCGCACTCGGGAGAGTGCGGCGCTGGGAGCGCAGCAGCGCTCCTGCCGCGGGTTCGGATCCTATATAGGGATGACTGCTGCGCTCACAGCGCTCACTGGCTGAGCGCGGTGTGGCCGGTCTCAGAAAGGACAAAATAAATAAATAAATAAATAAATAAATAAATAAAATAAACAACAGAAGTTTATTTCTCACAGGCCTGAGCATAGGGATGACTGCTGCGCTCACAGCGCTCACTGGCTGAGCGCGGTGTGGCCGGTCTCAGAAAGGACAAAATAAATAAATAAATAAATAAATAAAATAAACAACAGAAGTTTATTTCTCACAGGCCTGAGGCTGGGAACTTCAAGATCAAAGCATTGGCAGATTCTTTGTCTGGTGAGGACCCACTTCCTGGTTCATAGCTGGCCATCTTCTCACTGTGTCCTTGTATGGTGGAAGGGGAGAGGGAGCTCTCCTAAGTCTCTTTTATAAGGGCACTAATCCCATCCATGAGGGCCCCACCTTTATGACCTGATCACCTCCCAAAGGCCCCACCTCCAAATACCATCACATTGGGCATTAGGTTTCAACATATGGATTTTGGGGGGACACAAACATTCATTCTTTAGCAGGTTCATTCAGGACCTCAAGAAATTGGGAGTTATTTCAAGGATACATAAGGGACTTGGGGATCTCGTGGAAACTAGAAACAGTCTTACAGCTGGGTCTCCTGCTGCCTAGCATGGGGTTCAGGAGTGAGAAGTTCATTCTGGGTCCAGTCCCATCTCCTCAGCAGTGGCTCCAGCCCTGCCCCTTTATCACCAAGGCCCTGTTGGTTGTCCATCTCTGCCTCTCCCTGTGTATCTTGAGTCTTTGTCCCCTGCCAGCACCCCTCCAAGCTGCTCACACAGCTTTTATTTGCCTCCTGGCTTCTGTTTACTTGTGTCTTTGGTCTCTTACACAGTCCTTCTACATAAACTTTATGTAAAAGTTTTAGGCAGAGGGTGAGAGCTGTAGACATAGGCAGTAGCTGGATCATATGCCACGGTGAGGAGTTTGGACTTTATTCTGAAGGCAGACAGGATCCATGGGAGAGTGTTAGGCTGTAGATTAGCATGTAGTCGGGGCACTGTGGCTCAGTATGAGGTAGAGTCAGGCAAGGCAGGAACAGAAACAAGTAGGGAGGCCATTGCTGCAGTTCAGGCAAGAGATGGTAACTCCTAAACCAGATCTTTGGCCGTGGTGTGAAGAGAAGAGAAGCAGGAAACAGTATTCTAAATCAGCAGGGCCTGGGGATTGCCTCAATGCAGGACAAGGGAGATGCACACCCTTTTCCCTGAAGTCTCTCTGGTGGAAGCTGCTCCTTTTCTCCCACCTGCCATGTCTCTGTTTCCAGGCCATTGCCCCTCCATCATCATGTAAAACCTCTCAGGCTCTGAGATGTAAACCACTGCTGGCATCTGCTGCCCACCCTCCATGAAGAGTGCCTTAGACTATAGGTTCTGAAATCAGAGGACCTGCTCAAGAGCTGGGTTCAGAGCCTCGCTCTATACCTTTGTTTCCTTATCTATAAAAGGGATGATAATAGCACCGGTCTCCTAGGGTTTGGGAAAAATTGGATATGACAATGTGTAAAAGGCTTGGCACACAGTAAGCACTCATAAATATTAGACATTATTATTAATATTTTACTCCTACTTATCACTCTTAACTGCCAAACCCTGGAAGAGGACTCACTGAAAATATTGGTACCTGGGTTTAGAATCCCTGCTGGCATCTGGGGTGTCTGCAGTAGTCAGAGGAATCATGCAGCACCCTGGCCTCCCACTGTGTCACCTCCACTCGACTTGATCAGCCCATTGTCCAGGCCCAGCAGGAGCATGTGGGATGTGAAGACAAGTGAGCAAGGACCACATGCTGGGGACATATAACAGGTGTCCAAGGAATCCATGAAGGAGACAGAGTAAAGCAGGATCAGGAAGGTGCAGCCCCACGGAGACCAAAGGAGCAGTTTCAAGAAGAGAGTGTCTACCATGTCAGATGCTGCAGAGAAGTCCAGTAAGAGGAGTACTGAGAAATGGCCATTGGATGTACCAGTTGGGAGGTCACTGCTCACTGTGCTAACAATTTGAAAGGAGTAGCAGAGGAGGAGTCAGATGACAGTAGTGAGCAGTGAGTAGAAGGTTCTGTGGAGAGCACAGGTGTTGCACATAGTGAGGACGCCTGGTGCTGAGGGGAGGAGAGAGCCTGAGCAGCACCTAGAGGATGCAGTGGGCTAACGTGGCTGGAAATAGAGATTTGTGAGTTGTGAGCACAACTGCTTGTTCAGATGTAGGGAGGGCATGGATGAGATTCCCCAGGGAGAGCATAGAGGGTACAAAGTGCAGACAGTCAGGGCAGGCCCTGGGAACTCCAGGATTTAATGGCTGGGTAAGCGAAGAGGAGCCAAAGATAAAGACTGAAAAGGAGCTGTCAGAGGGAAGACTATTCTGAGAGTGGGGACCATGAAGTGGGATGGGCATCTATACCCAGAGTCAGGGGTCCCGGTAAGGCTGGGAGCCCAGGATGACCACAATCCTGCCCCAGCCCATCGCCAGTGCAGACTCCACAGAGGGGGCATTGCCTAGGCTGAGAGTGCTATGCTCCAGGGCAGACTTTTCTGTTTACTCTCTTACTATAAAAATTGCCAAACATATTTATAAGCATAGAGAATAACATAATGAACTTCCATGTACCTGCCATCACCTTCCAGTTATCAACACGTGGCCAGTATTGTTCAATCTCTTCCTCTCATGCTCCACACCCCACTGATTATTTGGAAACAGGTCTTGGGTATTATGTCATTCCAGCCATAAATATTTCTAAATACATTAAATCCCTCTAAAAGATAAGGACTATTTTTTATCATTACACCTAAAAAATTAACAGTAATTCCTTATTATCAAATATCCAGTTTTCTGCTGACCTTTTAACCCTTAGTGACTCCTTGCAGGCACTCTTGAGACTGACACATCAGATTGGTTATTTCTTCCTAGGGGAGTGATAAGGGTGTGGGAGAAGTAAAGGGTTTATGTGTTTCTACATTTGCTTGAATCCTGGTGCACCATTCCTCCAAGCCTCTGTTTTCTGACCTATAATATCTAATTTCATTTAGCAAATATTTATTGAACATCTACTCTGTGCCTAATAGTCCCTGCCATCAAAGAGACACAGTGAGCCAGATGCTTGAATCCTCAAAGAATGGAGGTGAATCTCCAGGGACCTGCAACAAGGCGGGGGG